AATGCCATCCATTACAGCACCCCTCAACTGGTTTCCTCTTGTATGAATTTGAGCATATTATCTGTTTGTCATTCTATGCTACTTTGTAAATCCCCCTTTGGCAGTGAAGATATTGTTCATACATTGGACAAATTCTTAATTATCGTTTATACTTCAAATGCTGAAGAACCAAAAGGAAGATTAAAGAAAAGCAAAATGCATTTTGCTTCCAAGAATTCCTCCAGATAATTTCATTAAGTTTGTGATGTAGGATATAAAAAAAATTAATCAAAATAAATTATTGTGCACCCCTATTTACATATGGATATTCATTTCTCAGTATTACTGATCATTAACTCTTCTGAGAATATGTATGTCAGTGCAGAATCTCTTTCCTTATTCTGTATAGTAACCCCACCCACCCCTTATCCATGGAGGCCACACTTCCAAGACCTCTGGTGGATACCAGAAACCACAGATAATACTGAACCCTATATATGCTATGTATTTCTCATATATATACATACTAGGATAAAGTTTAAACTATAAATTAGGCACAGTAAGAGAGTAACATCAATAATAAAATACTACAATTATAAATATGGACTGTAATACATTATGCAAATGAGGTTGTGGTGTGTGTCTCTCTCTCCCCTCCCGTCACCCCCATAGAATATCTTACTGTACTGTGGTCATCATTCACTTAAAGGAGCACTTTAGGTTTTCTCTCTGGCATCACTACTCTTGCACTTGGGGTCGTTATGAAGTAAAGTAAGGGTGAGTGGAATGCAAGCCCTGCGATACCATGACAGTTGATGTGATAACAGATCCGGCTATTACGTGACTAACAGGAGGGGAGCATCTACATTATGGAGATGCCAGGACATCACAAGACTTTATCAAGTTACTCAGGACAGCATGCAATTTAAAACATACAAACTGTTCATTTCTGAAAAATTTTTATTTCTTATTTTCCGACCATGGTTGGCTGCAGGTAACTGACACCATGGAGTGTGACACCTTGGACAAGGGGGGCAGCTGCAGTATATGCGCGCACCCAGAATGAGGACAAATGTAAGAATATACTGAAGCACTTTCATATAGCCTTCAGTGGCACTGCATTTAACAAACACTTCTATAAAGTAGTTAATAAATTAAAACATGTACATATACACATTTAAATGTGTATGTAGGGAACCTATACATACACGCACATACAATACACTCAACACATACACAAACTCACGAATGCTGAGAACTGCATGAAGGAGGATACTTACATCAGAGTAAACTCGAGTTCCAATCACACGAGCATAATGTGGATTTGCTTGCATACAGTTACGAGGGCAGTATACTCTGAAAAATAAATATTTATTTATGCATAGTAAGTAGCTGGTTACTACAATCTTTGTTATAACTAAGAAGACAGACGTGCTTATACAAACGTAAACTCAGCATTCTAAACCCTACTTTTTTTTTCTTCTGAAATAGGTCAAATGTCAAAAGACACCTTTGCTTCTGTTTACACTAGACACTTCCAACCTTTGGCACAAATGTGTTTTTCTTAAAAAAAAAAAAAAAAAAATTACCAGGAAGGTTTCTAATGTAGGACTTCAAAGCAGAAAGAAATACCAGGAAGCAGCTCTAAGAATCTGGGTGTTTGGTATCCAATGTGACTGTAGAATTTACTAAACAGACAACTTGGAAAATCTGAATCATTGTTTGACTCGTAGATCTCATAGTTTATTTTCTCTGTGTTCACATCCTAGGTGTCTCATCCAATTTCATGGTTTTAATTATCATCTACAAACTGTTGATTTCCAAATAGTCATCTAGAGTTGAGGCCATCATAAATAATTGTTTCTTCATGCTTGTTTTGAGTTAATATCCTTTCATTTATCTGCTCTCAGAATTCTCTCTCAGAATAGATTTATGCCTCAACTTATTTAAGTGATATACAATTATAAACAAATGCACCACAATATGGTTCCCTAAAAGTCATAAAATACTATATAAAAAATACCATTATGAACGAGTTTATGCAAATATTAGACATTTTATGAGAAAGAAGAAGAAAGCCTTTGTTTCACTGGTCTATAAAAGAAAATGGGATGGGGGACTGGTCAAAATTATGCATAAATCATTATTTCCTGTGATTTGTTATACTGGTGACAGTGAAAGTTAAATTTTACAAAAATTATATCATTTCCCTTTTGGGGAGTATGTATTTCCCTTCCTGAAACAAGTGAAAAAAATAAAAAACTTTTTATTAATATTTTACTTGAATGATCTTTTCCTTTCAGAACAATATTGCTATAGATTGTTCCATGGGTATAAAATTACCATTTACTGAACATTTCCTCCAGGGAGGATTCATGCTGAAAGGCTCCACTGTGATCCTTACTATTCAATCCTCATAAACCTGTCACAAGCCTGAGAGAGGGCCTGCCATAATACTGACACAGAAAATTTTTCCTTCTCTCACCATATCATAAGGTTAGAATTTCCCAGATTTACTTAGCAATCTGTTTCTTCTTTCTATAAAGTACAATGTATAAGTACAGGGGTTTGAGATAGTTGAAAAAGAAATTCGACAACATTTTCTAAGATTATAAAACACACCATGATCTTCATTAAATCTGTGAGCCTCATGAGACCAAAATAAGTGAAGTGCTAGTAAGAGGAGATGATACTTTTATAATAAACATATTTGATCCGTGTTTATAGCAGCCTGAGCAGCCTGAGCCAGATGTCTGGTACACATGTGAACACTCTGATCGCAGGCAAAATCCCGCTGCCCGAATAGCAGAAGCTACTCCAGCACTTGGGGGAAGAACACTAGGAATGTGTGGCCTTTGTGACAGCCCATTGCTGCCTGCTGCCTAGCAGTTTGAGATCACACACCCTTTGAGCCCTAGAGACACGAGAATTTCAGGCAAAAACAGTTATCACAGGACAGACGCACCTTACACGTTCACTGGTAAGGAAGAATGCGAACATTTAGAAAACGTTACCTTGGGCAGTGGGAAGCCGGTTTATGAAATGGACAGAGCTGTTCCACCGTGGTCTCACAGGTGACAGCCTGAACTGCAGAAATCAAACACAAACAAGGAGCAAATTCTTTGGAAACAGTAGCACGCAACACAATAATAAGAAAGTGAAATAGAAAAAAAGTGCTAACCTGTTACTTTAGAGACCGTAAAGGAATTAGCAGACTGGTATTTCCTGAAGATGAAAACAAAAAATGTCAATCATCTACACTAATAAAAGACAAAGATGCTAATTGACCATACCTTTGCTATGCCCCAAACCACGCCCACCAGCCAATCAGAGCGACTATATGCAAATTAACCCAACCAAGATGGCAGCCGGCAGCCACTGAGCTGGAGCAAGCAGGAGGCTTGGTTGCTTGGATGGAGAAAGCCCAGCTTCCCGCCTGCTCTGAGCTGGCTGTGGCCTCCACTCATGGTAACAAAGTTTCAATTATAGAAGACAAATAAATCACAGATACCTGCTTCCAGCCAGCCTCCACTGGGAGCTTGGGTGGCTAGGGGCTGTGGCCAGCCTGAAAACAGCCATCAGCCCCTCACCCAGACTGGCCAGGCACTCCTATATAATAAAAGGCTAATATGCAAATTGACCCTATCAGCAGAACAACTGGGCATGACTGGTCACTATGACACACACTGACCACCAGGGGGCAGATGCTCACTGCAGGAGCTGCCCCCTAATGGTCAATGTGCTCCCACAGAGGGAGCTCTGCTCAGCCACAAGCCAGGCTGCCGGCTGCCAGGAGAGCGGTGGTAGTGGGAACACTGATCACTAGGGCAGACAGTCAACAGCTGACCAGTCACTATGATGTGCACTGACCACCAGGGGGCAGACGCTCTAACCAGTAGGTTAGCTCACTGTTGGGGTCTGGCTGATCGAGACTGAGCGAGATGGGCTGAACACGCCCTGGATCCCTACTGTGGTCCCTCCCTAGCTGGCCAACCTCCTGTGTCCCTCCCCGGCCTCAATCATGCACCGGTGTGTCCCTCGGCCTGGCCTGTGCCCTCTCACAATCTGGGGCTCCTTGGGGGATGTCAGAGAGCTGGTTTTGGCCTGATCCCACAGGCCAGGCCAGTGGACCCCACTGGTGCATGAATTCGTGCACCGGGCCTCTAGTTTCCTTATAAGTATTATCATCATCCACACAACTTCTGTATGTTTTAGGTCTATGAATACTTTGTTTTTTCTTAAACACTCTTATTTAAATATCTAAATAAGTAGCAATATAAGAATATATCATCTACTTTATGCTAAATCCATATTACCTTCAAGTATGAACCAAATCAATAACATTCTTAATATTAGTGAATGATCTTTTTTTAAAATATATTTTATTGACTTTTCACAGAGAGGAAGGGAGAGAGATAGAGAGTTAGAAACATCGATGAGAGAGAAACATCGATCAGCTGCCTCCTGCACATCTCCCACTGGGGATGTGCCCGCAACCCAGGTACATGCCCTTGACCGGAATCGAACCTGGGACCCTTCAGTCCGCAGGCCGACGCTCTATCTGCTGAGCCAAACCGGTTTCGGCTGATCTCTTTGTTATCAATCTCAAAACTATTTAATCTTTCACAACAGTAAATACAAGGTAGTGTTATAAAAACACTAAGTAATAAGTACCTTATAGGAGTGTGCATTATTTAATCCCCCTAGTATGCAGTAAAATGCCTACTGTAAATGAATGAATTCCTCTTCATCATACGCATTATAAAAAAATAGGAAAACAAAAATAGGTATACCATTGTATACCAACAATTTCATAGGTTTATCTATATCCTGATTTTCAGAAAAGCATCTACTGCAAAAGGGAAGGCTCTAATATGAAACACTTTTCAATTTCAATAGTTTCCACAATAAACATAATCAAATAGGAGTTAAGAGAAAACAAATAAATACGATAAATGTTTTTAAATCAAACATCCAGTGTTTGCCTTACTAAAAATAATGACTAATATTTATTATTTATTCAAGGAAGTTATTAAATATTTGCAGAATGAATCAGTTAATAAATGTTTCTATACTTGAGAGTAATGGGGGTAATGGCTGACTACCACACATCAAGCTTTTGGTCAAAACTGTCTACAAAGGATCTCACTCCATGAATTTGCAAACGTTTTAAATAAAATCCCATCATTATGAATTTCAACTTTACTCTGGAGTTTTGTGCAATTGTATCTGTACAAAAGGAAACTGACACATTTGCTAAGAAAAGGCATTTCATCTGAGGTTCAATAATGTTTCTTTTTTTCACACAGAAGCAAGAGACACTACAAAAATATTTCCCAAGCCCCTATTTTTCTACTCTTTAGAGAGTATATATGAAAATATACAGGGTTTTGGAATAACATATTTCATGTTCTTAACAGGATAAACATTTTAAAAGATAACCACTGCTTTTATATTAGATTAAATTACATTTAAATGAACAAAAGAAAGGTGATATATACTTAGTGACTTTTCAAAAATGCTCTTTGTTATCTACTAATCTCAGTTTATTAACAAAGTTACTATTGTAAAAAATAAACTATTCTTCCCTAAACAGGGCAGGGAGAATATGCAAATCTATAAGCCTTCTCTGCAATATTTCCTGTCATAGCTGAAAAGTTTATTGGCTCACAATGAAAACCACTATAAATTTGTGCGTTCTTGATGAAACTCTAAAAAATTTGGAGTTATTTCAGGATGTTCTTTGGAAGCAAAGCATTCAACTTTCATTTCAATACTTCTCTTTCTTTTTGTCTATGGAAATGTTGTCGCCAAAATGAACTTTGAAAATGACCAGTTTCTCTCTGTATAAATTCTTCTATGCTTTGCCCCAAAATAATTTATTGCCTCATTGTTACAATTTAAAATCAAAAGAGCATTCAGGTACTTACCCGATTGTTTGAATACCATTTCTATTGGATTTGATGAAATAATGTTTTCTTCCTTGTCTAGTGATATCTACCCAACCGCCATCATTGTCTATTATACCATAATGAATTGCAGCTTTACAAATACTGGATTGCTTGGTGAAAAGAGGTGGAGAAAAAGATATTAAAATATTAGAGTTCTGGATAAAAGACTACTAGTTACTATTTACATAACTTTAAATTTGACAAGCATTTCTGAGCAAAATATCTATGCTTATACAAATTATTTTGCACATTAAAAATCAAATATTACATGAAAGGACTCTATCTCCAAATAATTGTATTTATAATAGTTACCATTTCATAATATACACTGCCAACAACTTTAGCTTTACTATCCACACAGCCAGCAGGGCATTCATATCTAAATGAAAGAAAATTGGGACAAAATTTAGTTTCTCTGAATGTCAGCAAAAAAATGAAAATATTTCTGACATTTTGGTCAGTTAATTTTGACAATAATAAATATTACCGATTGCAAGTTGTTCCTTTGCACTGATCTCTTAATCTTACTTCACAAGAAACAATTTGGGCTAAAAGAAAAAAAATAATGTAGAAAATGTAAAAGGTGCTATATAATTCTTCAGAGTCAATATAATGGCAAGCTTTTACCATTCTAAAAATATTAAAGGTGATAAAATATAGATGGATATGCCACCTATGGGAACCGTTTTTAAAAAATGTTTTTATTGATTTTAGAGAAGAAGAGGGGTAGAGAGATAGAAACATCCATGAGAGAGAAACACCAGGCAGCTGCCTCCCACACATCCCCTACGGGGGATCCAGCTAGCAACCCAGGTATGTGCCCTGACCCAGAATTGAACCGGTGACCTCTTGGATCATGGGTTACTGCTCAACCACTGAGCCACACAGGCCGGCTAAACCTTAAAATTTTCGTAAATAATGCAGAAGTCTTACACATTTGCTGCGTGCTTACAACTTCATTTGTGTTACTATCATCCGCTCTTGCCCGAACGTGGGTGTCATGGACTTGGGACTGCTGCCGTTCAATTTCATTGGTTTCCTCTTCACGGGGAGTGTAGTACCTGTCTGATCCTTCTGTTAGAGAGAATGGAGTTCAGGAATATGAATCCCACTTAAATTTGTACAAATGATCAAATAATGATAAATCTTGACATACCTGTTTAACATTTAAAACTAGAAAAATCATTAATGTTTTTTAAAATTTACTATTGTTCAAAGTATTACAGATGTCCCCCTGCTTCCCCCATTGACCCCCTCCACCGCACCCCCACCCCC